GCCCCGGTTTCTCCCCATAGGCCTTGGCCTACAAGCCCTTAACCATACGAGTGGCCCTTCTCTGGACCCTCTCTAGGTTATCCACACCCCTCTTGAAGTGCGGCGCCCAAAACTGCACGCAGTACTCCAACTGCGGTCTGACCAGCGCCCAATAGAGGGGAAGTATCACCTCCCTGGATCTGTTTGTCATGCATCTGCTGATGCACGATAAAGCGCATCAGCAGATGCTTTTCTGATGGCTTCATCACACTGCCGACTCATGTTCATCTTGGAGTCCACTAGGACTACAAGATCCCTTTCCGCTTCCGTTCCACCAAGCAGGTAATTTCCTAGGCAGTAGGTATGCTGGACATTTTTACTCCCTAGGTGCAGCACTTTGATTTCTCCTTGTTGAATTGTATTCTGTTGTTTTCTGCCCATATGTCCAACCTGTCCAGTTCTGCTTGTAGTTGTTCCCTGCCCTCCAGCGTGTCCACTTCTCTCCTCAGTTTTGTGTCATCCGCAAACTTGGACAGAGTACACTTCACTCCCTTGTCCAAGTCGCTGATGAAGGTATTGAAGAGTATCTTGTAATCATTCGATTTTTGGGACCAAAAAGGAATTAATGAGCTCCTATCTTTATTGGAGACTGACTAAATGCATCTACGTGTGCTGTTAGCTTGGAGCAATAAACTCTGGCCCAGGACCCCTGAGCTGGGTCAGAACATCCCTGGCTGGCAGGGAGCCCAGGGGTTCAGCCTTTCAGCCCAGGGCTGCTCCTACCTGCTCCAATGTGCTGCAGAGAGCAGGCAGCTGTGCACTGAAGCACCCTCATGACCCAGGCAGCTGTGTCAGCTTCTACACATGTGCTGCTGTGCACAGAAGAACACTGCCACAAGACCTGCGGTGGAATTTAATTAGTTTCCTGCAGCCTCATAGGGCTGCATGTGTAGATGTTGAGACTTTACTACAGAACTAATTAGGCAGCTCTGCAGTTAACTTCTCAAGTAGATACGCCCACTGTGTCACTTCCTTCAACCATTACTGGCCTGGAAGCTGATTACAGTGTGCCAGTTGCTCCAAACCTTTCTTGTGTACTGAGCTGAATTGCATATATTTATGATAGTGGGACCTGAAGTTGCATACCTTCTCTAGTGACTCCCATCCCCAGTAGTCTCCAGGCACTTAACAGTTACTCTTCCCAGCACTGTCTGAGGTAGGAAAGAGTTATTCCCTATTAACATATGACAAAATTGAGCCAGTAAAACAAAATGGCCATACACATCAATATAAGTGCTGGGACAGAACTCAGGAATCCTCTCGCTTGAAGGATTTTGGACGCTAAGGGCTACATACACTCATTCTGTATATGACAAAGTGTTGAAGAATCTGTTGATGCAGCACAAGAACCTTTGGCAATTACTTCGAGCATTTTGAGTAATGGCGAGGTGTCCCACTTGGAAAGTACAAAAATGCTGTTTATTTTGGGACAAAAAGGAGGAAGAAGCCAAAGAAATAGACATAGATGTTTCAGTGGCTGAACCTGACAAAAAGCTGGTGCATTTAATAAATGCATTGTAAGTGCCTAGGACTAGGTTGAAATAAGGTGATAAATGCTGTGGGTTTGCCAACTACAGATAAGCTAGCCTAATTTTTCCCTCTGCAAGGATAGCAAGCTTAGGGAATAAAAGAAACTCAGCAAGTTTACTCTCATGGCTTCAGTTTCATAGCTTTGTAAAGGGAAAGTTGTTTTCAGTGGTGGCAGAAGACAGAACAATGAGCAATGGTTTCGAGCTGCAGCAAAGGAAGTTTAAGTTGGATATTAGGAAAAACTTTTTCACTAGGAGGGTTGTAAAACACTGGAACAGGTTACCCAGAGAGGTTGTGGAATCTCCATCTTTGGAGGTTTTTAAGACCCAGCTAGACAAAGATTTGGCTGGGATGATCAAGTTAGGGATTGTCCAGCTTTGATTAGGGGGTTGGACTAGATGACCTCCTGAGGTCCCTTCCAACCCTAATTTTATATGATTCTATGGAACATCTCAGAGATACAAAACTAGTCAAATAAATCTGAGAGTTTAGAGCCTGTTTGTTAGGCATGGGGTTCAGCTCTGTGTTTAGGAGTGTTTGCTGTCCTGCAGAAGCTAATTAAGTGAGGTTTTTAACCAAGTCATAGCCAAAGGTCAGACAGCTGACCTGTGGCTAGGATTTAATCCTAATTGTAGGATTAAAATTCAACATGGCTGGATTAAAGAGGAAAATAGCTGAAATTCTACTTTTAAAACAGCAGCTGTATTCCAACTCTTATAAGCTCGGTAGTTTCATTCTTCATTATTCTCTCCATTCATAAATCTCCTGCCCCAGGGTATTGGCCTCATGGGAAAAATCCAAAGAAGCTCTACTCTTGGTAAATGAGGTAACTCTCCTTCAGCATTTTAATCAACGTTGTTTTTTCTTTCCAGTGGTGGTGGAAGTTACTGGTCACGCTCATGTTCTCTTGGCTGCCTTTGAAAAGGTAAATGAGTCCTGTCATTCTGCTTTCACTCTTCTCCTCCGTACATGTAATCTTGTGGATGGAAGTTTTCATAGGGCATTTGTCCTATTTGTGTAGTACCTAGTCCTGTAGTGTTCAGGTCCCACATATTACCACAGTATACCTCACAGGCTGCAAAAGAGCAGCTGTATGTTACAAGCTTCAGGCCTGAACTAAACAACTTTTTCAGTCTGCTTGATGACTGGAAGTGTGTTAGTCTCTGTGGTGATTAAATCTGATGGGTGTTTAAACATAACATCATCATAGTATGATTAGGGCCTTAAGATTTGTCTATAGAACCAGATGTGCTGTGTCTAGAACCGGCTGTAACATGGTTTAGTCTTAGCCTATGGATGGGACTAAACCATGTTAAGGAGCATTACATCTTGAGATCTGGTGGTACTCCTTACATGACTGGAGCATAGCTATAGGGGGCTACACCCTGCATAGAAGGGACTGGGTGGCGAAGAAAGGTGGAGGCATTGCTCTGTATGTGAAAGAGTAGTACACCTCCTTGGAGGCTGACATCGGCTCCAAAAATGGACAGCTTGAAACCCTCTGGGTCAAGTTGCGGGGTGGGGGGGTGGCGCGAAAGACCTAACTGTAGGTGTATACTACAGACCACCAAACCAGGGGGAGGAACTTGGTCTGGAGTTCACCCGAGAATTGACTGAGGCCACACATGTGTGTGACATGGTTGTCATGGGCATTTTTAATTATCTAGACATCTCCTGGGAGGAACACTCGATCAAGTTGGATTGCTTGTAATCCTTCCTGACTTGTGTCAAGGAGCTCTCCTAGACTCAGGAGGTGCATGGGCCAACCAGAGGTGATGCTCTGCTAGACTTGGTTCTGGCCAAATGAGACGACCTGATGACCTACTTAAATATAGAGGAAAGTCTTGGCGACAGTGACCATATTCACTGTCCGATGTAAAGCAAATCAGATAGCGGGATTGAAGTCTTGGACTTAAAAAATGCAAATTTCAACAAACTTAGGTCACTAATAGGGCAAGTGCTGCGGGACCAGGGATCGAAGGCAAAAGGTGTGCACAAAGAGTGTCCTTAAGGACATGATCCTTGAAGCACAAAGGAAATCCATTCCCATGCAGAGAAAAGGTAACAGAAGGGCTGGGAAGCCCTCTTGGCTAAACAGGGAAATCATGGTCCTCTTAAGAAAGAGGCTTATAAACAATGGAAGCTTGGGGCGGGCCCCAAGGAGGACTATTCCACAACAGCCCACATTTGCAGGGAACAGATAAGACAGATTAGTTTGCTAGAGCAGCGACCAAACTAAGATTAGCAATGGGAAGTCCTGTAGGTACATGGGGAACAGGAGGAAAACAAATGGGAATGTGGGGTCATTGCTCAACAGCTCAGGAGAGCTGGTTACTGGCACCCAGGAGAAAGCTGAACTCCTGAATGATTACTTCACCTCAGTCTTGCACCGGACCAAGAAGAAAACCATGCCAGGTAGAGTAGAGGATGAGCATGGTAGGAATAATCGCCTTCCTACTGTTGTTGTAGAATTGGTGTATAACCAATTAATAAAATTTGATCCATACAAGTCAGTGGGACCTGATGATCTTCATCCGAGAGTGCTGAAGGAGCTGGCTGAAGTCATTACAGAACCCCTGGTGAAACTCTTCCACAACTCGTGGCGCTCTGGAGAAGTCCCTGAGGACTGGAAGAGGGCCAGCGTTGTGCCTGTTCACAAGAAGGGCAGGAGGGAGGACCCGGGTAACTATAGGCAGGTCAGCCTAACATCCATTCTAGGGAAAATCCTAGAAAAGTTCATTGAGGAGTCTGTCTACGATAAGCTTGCAGAAGGTAAGATTCTGAATGACAGTCAGCATGACTTCGTCATGGGCAGGTCTTGCCTTTCCAACCTCATCTTCTTCTATGACCAGGTAACTCACCACCTGGACACAAGAGAGCAGGTTGACATTGTATACCTAGATTTCCAAAAGGCCTTTGATCAGTATTCCTCAATGTCCGCGCAAGAAAATTGGAGGATTGTGGGCTTAACTCTGAGACAGTCAGGTAGGTGAGAAACTGGCTGCAGGATAGAACCCAGAGAGTCGTAGTGAATGGATCTGTGTCATCCTGGTGAGAAGTGGGCAGTGGTGTCCCGCAGGGCTCAGTGCTTGGTCCAGTACTTTTCAACATCGTTTTTAATGATTTGGATGTGGAGGTGAAGAGCTCACTGTCCAAGGTCGTAGATGACACCAAGTTATGGGGAAGCATGATCACGCTTTAAGGTAGGCTACAGTTACAGGCAAACCTAGACAGGTTAGCAAGTTGGGTGGATCGGAATCTGATGAAGTTCAGCATTGAAAAATGTAAAGTGCTTCACCTTGGGATGAGCAGCCCCCAACACACGTACAGGCTTGGCGGCACCAAACTGACTAGTACCATAAATGAAAGGGACCTTTGGGTAATAATAGACCACAGTATGAATATGAGCTGGCAGTGCAATGCTGTAGCCAGTAGGGCAAATAATACTCTGGCATGCATCAATTGATGCATCTCAAGCAAAACCAAGGAGGTGTTTCTTCTGCTCTACTTGGCACTGGTGAGACCGCAGCTTGAGTACTGCATCCAGTTCTGGGCACCACACTTTAATAAGGATGTGGACAAGCTTGAGAGAGTCCAAAGAAGAGCCACCCATATGATCAGAGTTTTAAAAGGCAAGCCATATGAGGAAAGGCTGAGGGATCTGGGACTCTTCAGTCTGAGGAAAAGAAGGCTGAGAGGAGGGGACCTGGTAGCAGCTTACCGCTACACTAGGGGAGTACATCAAGGGCTCAGTGAGTAACTGTTTACCAGGGCATCCAAGGGGAAAACCAGAAGTAATGGCCACAAACTCCTGGAAGATCAATTCAGGATCAACATTAGGAAAAACTTCTTCACAGTCAGGGTGTCCAGACTGTGGAATAAGCTCCCTCCAGAGGTGGTGCAATCACCTACCCTGGAGAGCCTCAAGAGAAGACTAAACAGTCACCTTGCTGGGGTCACCTGACCCCCAGTTACCTTTCCTGCTTGGTGCAGGGGGCTGGACCCAATGATTTTCCGAGGTCCCTTCCAGCCTTTCAATCTGTGAATCTTATGTAAAGCCCTAGGGAGCAGGAGAAGCAAAATTGTTCTCACCCTAGGCTCATTGACCCTAACAGGAGACATCAGTGGACATTAGGAGGCCTCAGGCTTGTAATAGAGCCTGCCTGTTTCTTTCAAGGGAAGGTGCCTGAGGTAGGGGCCACTTGGGACTTTGATTAAATGAAGGGAAGGGTTTTGGCCCATTACTCCAGAAGAGAGGCAGAGAGAGGTATAGCCTGCTGAGAGCCTGCATGGCTCCCAGCATATTAAAGCTGAGGTTAAAGTATTCCATCTGCATCCATCTTTCTCTGTGCCTTAGTGACTTTTCTTTGTTCCCCTGGCTGCTGCCTTTCTCCATAGCTAGGTTCTGGGTCTGATGCCAGTGTAATTTGTACTTGGGATAGGGCTCATCTAGCCACTATCCACTTGGGAAGACTGAATTTATCATTCTTGTTCTGTGCCCAGTCTCCTGTGGTCAGGGAGCTCAAGTCCTGAAATGAACCTGGCTCTGCATTTCCAACATCAAAATTTAGCACCATGTGGCCAGCCTGTATAATGAACTCCTCTTGTAGAAGTCTCTCCTCCAGGGCTTTATTTTATGCAACAAGTTTCATCTCTTGAGTTGTGAGAAGTGGCACCTAGACTGTGACTGATACCAAAAGGTGCAACATTCTATGGTGCGTGTTAATTTGATTAGAAATCATTAATGCAGCAGTAATATTTTCCATTTCAATAGTACCTTTAGTCACAGACAGTTCCATATGTACAGCAGTAAAATGCAGCTAACTCTGAGGAGAAGGTAGATGCAGGCTACTCCAGATTTGCTTCAGAGAGCATTATGTAATAATTACTGTTTTTACATTCACTGGACTCCATGCGGGACTGGGTGCTAGAATCCCATGGGAGACAGAGCCAGTGATCACTGTACGGCGCCTAAAACAGAAGGCTCCAAAACATCTCCGAAACTATCCAAAACGTTTCGGAAATGTTTCAAATGTTTTGGAATGTTTCAGGGACGCCTCTCAGGAATAGTCTGGCACAGCCCCTCAGTCCTCCTTCTAAAGTGCCGGGAGGCTGGGGCCAGGTGGGGGATAGGGCAGGGCAGCCATGGGGGCCGCTGGGGCTGAGTGGTACCAGGCTCCCAGACAGTGTGTGGTGCCCTGCCAAGCCACACTACATCCACGCGATGCGATAGCTGCCTTGCAGGTGCCAAGCGGAGTGTAGGGGGGCGATCCCCGCTAGACCTCAGTGCCTTGTGCTGCACTGGGGGGCTCTGCCACGAGCCCTTAGAGGCCCTGATTGCCACTGCTTTAGCTGGTGAGTGCAGGGCTTTTTTTTTTTTAGTGCTAGGATGCTGGGGCCAGACGGGGCCATGGGAAGGGGCTGGGGGAGCAGGCACGGGGCAGGGGGGGCTCCCCCTGCCCAGGGAGAGGCAGGCACAGATGGAGGAGCCGCAGGAGAACCTGCAGCTGCCTGGCTGTGCCTGCCAAACCCTGTCTGATCTGAATCTCCGAAACAGCGTCAAAACTCCAAAACAGATTTGGCCGAATTGAAATGGAACAGTGATCCAAAACACCAAAATGAATCACTGTCCCTCTGAAATGGCCAAATCTGAAATGGAAATGAAACATAGCCATTTCCCACAACCCTGTTGCTTGGCAATCTGGCTCTCAGCTGTAACTATGTGTGCTTATGCAATAGTCTGAACTTCCAGGGCCATTTGTGACTTGATGGTTTTGTGTGGAATTCATGTTTCTGACTGAAGCACCTCACATACTGCCTAGCCCCAGTACAGAAATGCAGTGGCCACATCACAAGCATTCTCTACACTGCAAAACAAACAAATGGGAACAACTAGGATCCTTCTCATACTGCAGAGCAGCCAGG